ATAAAAAAATAAACAAAAAAAAAACACGAAGAGCAGGTCAAAAGACCGCCGAGCAAACAAACAGGGCACCACGGTCACAAAGGACAACGAGAACGGGCAGCGAGATAGAGAGAGAGAGAGAGAGAGAGCCGCGCGCTGCGAACTAGAGAAGGCGAGCAGAGAGCGGTGCGATAGAGAAGGGCGAGAGAGAGCGCGCCGAGAGAGGAAAGAGAGAGCGCGCGCGAGAAAAGAGAGATAGAGAGAGAGATTAGACAAGAGTGAGAGGAAGAAGAGCAGAGAGAGAGAGGAGAGAGAGAGAGAGAGAGAGAGAAGAAGGAGAGAGAGAGAGAGAGAGAGCAGAGAGAGAAAAGAGAGCGCGAACGAGAGCACCGAGAGAGAAGAAGAGAGAGCGCGGCGCCGCACGCACGACGAACAGGCACCGCAGGAGAGCACGACACGACGACCGCAGGAAGGGGAGAGAGCGCGCGCGAGAGAGAACGAGAGAGAAGGGGAGAGAGCGCGCGCGAGAGAGAACGAGAGAGAAGGGGAGAGAGCGCGCGCGAGAGAGAACGAGAGAGAGCCCGATGTTTTCCTTCAACAGCGCTCGCGTCTGCGACGACCGAGAGAGAGTAAGACGATTCCTGCGTGTTTAACGCATTGTTGACGTAGCGAGAAGCAACCGATAGAAGCCGATACACGTCCGCGGCGGCGGCGGCGACTAACGTCCGAGCGGCTTCCCCCCCCCCCCGAACATCGCTAATGCACCCACGGCGGCCTCGCAGCTACACGGATCATAGCCGCGAAGCTGCCAGATCCATTATCACTTCGCCCCTCGCGCGTATGAACAGTCAAATAAACAAGGCGGTGCAGCCTGGAGGAAGCTAGGCAGCGGTCTCTCTCTCTCTCTCTCGCGTGCGTGCGCTCACGCCTATACGACGACATCATTAATTACGCGGGCCGCGGGCAGAAGATTTCACCGAAACACTTCGCGCTTGTGTTTACACGATAGGTGGTCGGGGTTTTTTTTTCTTGTGGCAAAATCAAAACAAACGGCGTTTTAGCGCAACCTGTGTGGGCCACGGAGAGACTAAAGACACGGACTGCATAAACACGCGCACACTCGCGCGCGTCGCGGGCAATGAATGGCCACGCCGCGGCGCGTAACCATGACGACGGCGGCAAACTGACGTGTGTGGGCCTGGCGCTGGCAGCAGCGATAAGAGTGAGGAGGCTCTCTAAAATGTTTCGCCCAGTGTTACATTTGTATTTTCGCCCGCGCACGCGCGGCGAGTCAACTGCGCGCAAGAAAAACAATAACATACAATCGAGAGCAAACAGAGTGCCTGTCCGTCATTAAGAAGAGGACGAGAGAGAGAGAGACAGCGCGCGGAGGCGAGGCGATGCAGCAGTAGGGCAGAGGACTGACGCATAGAGAGCACGCACGCACGCACGCGGCGATCGCACGGGGCAAACCGTCAGCGTGTTAACTGTTACGCTCGATTGCAAGTCATTCACCTCTAAGCCGCCGTACGTTCTGCTTATAGCCGACACTTGCAAGAACCGACACTTGCCATCGCGGGTAGGAACGGCGGTGGTGACATTTTCGTCTGTCGCATCTGTGATGTTTGTCGACAGGCGTTGGCGACGCGTCGTCCGGTCGTGATCCGACGGGCTCGCGCGAGCGACATCTTCACGCGACATCTTCACGTGACATCCACGCATGACATCTTCCAGTGATATCTTCACGTAACATCTTCGCGCGACATCTACGCGTGACATCTCCACACGACATCTTCACGCGACATCTACTCGTCACATCTTCGCGTGACATCTTCGTGTCACCAAACACACGACCACCTTCGTCGTCGTCCCCTGACTCGTCTTCCCACAGCGACATGAACCGACAGCAGACGACGTTCGGCACTCCGACGTCGCTCGTGTCGCTCGGCTGCTCCGTGCTGCCGCGCTTGCCCGACGCCCACTACATGTACTCGTACGCTCCCTACCTATACCAGGCGACGGCACCGGCCGACGGCCTCGGCTACAACCCGTTTGCGATCAACATGCTATCGACGATGGAACGCAGGGAGCATCATCAGGTACGCTTTCGTGATCAAATAGTCTAACTACGTGACCTTGGTATAGATATTGACTTGTCAAATATATACTTGATGTGCGCATATATTTGTTCGTCAGGTGTCTTTAATTTAATTAGTGTTTTTGTAAGTGCATGGGCGCTATCGTGTAAAGTAGGAAGGAAGCTTTCAAAATCCTAAATGAATGTACCTAGGAACGAGTCTAATGCTAGTCAAAATGCATTATGTATAATTTGTGTGTGTATATATTATGTATATATATATATAGAGAGAGAGAGAGATATCAGAAGTATATAATCACAAAAAGAGACAATTTTGTCGAAAATCAAGTCGTGTGAATAGAAAATTAGTTTCATTTCGATATCATGTAGCATTTCGGAACTTTATTGTCCGCGTATCTTGCGTAATCATGTCAGGTGTGCATGAATAGATACCTATACTGTTGTACTCTTGATCGTATATATATATATA